TTTGTTTTCCAGAAGAAATTTTCAATTTGTACATAAATTTAAACAAAGTTATATGTGTGAACATTCTTGTTATCTATAATATTAAATCTCACTTGTCTTTTCATTATCATGGTTGTATAGAAAATTTAAGTTTTATCAAACTTGATAAATGAATAAATTGTGAGATGGTAGAGAAGATTTGTAGCTTTGTGGTGGTGTTTTATTCTCTGAGCTGGATGGTTTGATCGTGGAGCTTTCATCGTTCTTCTGAACGGCATCATCAGCACAAAATTCAGATAGAAGTGAAGTGTTCGAATTTTGTAGCTCAGATGGATGGTTTTGATGGACTTTTATTCTCTGAACTGGATGGTTTTGTTGTGCTATTTGGATAGTCTATAGACTAATGATTGTTTTTGTGATTGATTGTATGATATCTAGTGAATATAAATTAATCTCCTCTTGAAGTTATATATTTATACAAACTGTATCGAGTGGTAATTCGCTTTAGATCTGTAATATCAGTTGTAAATTAAAACTATCTTAACTGCTTTATATCAACTTGAAATTTAGTTTAACGAAAATGTGGCGTAGGTTTATGTTTGCTGAAAGTCCTTTAATAATTGTCTAATTCACCGTGTTTCTTAGTCATTTTTTTTTTAATTTTTAAAATAACAGGTTATTCCATCATATAATTTTTACCTTGTTTGAAATACATCTTGTCAATTTCATCTCGTTGTGTTAATATAATAAGACAACTTAGGGCAATGTATATCTGTCCAAGGCTGTAGTATGATGAGGACTAACTTCAGTTTCGGTCATACTTACAAGATGCGTTTTACTTGAATCTACTTGGTTACAGCATATACAAAACATAACATAATGTATTACTATAATTGACCATAAAGAGTACAAAGTAATAAAACCAAAGGTTTCAACGGCAAATTATCAGTTATCTCTTATGGCACTTAAAATCAGTAAAGTTCCAAGAATATGTCCGTTTCATCATCAATATAACTTGTTGTCAGAATTAGTAATTAGTTTTTGTAAAGCCTACCTAGACATTAATTCTTAAGAATAATTTGATGTCATACTGTATGCAGATTAAAATCGCTGATGAGGACTCCTTGTTATCGAGTAAAGAGTTGATAAGTAAAGTACATAACACCAACTAAAATATATGCATATAACTTTTTAGTAGTAGAAGCTATAATAAAACGAGTTAAAAATAAATGATAGATTAATCTTGCGAAATCACTGCCAAAAGTACACTTCATAGATTTAACAATCATTTCATGAGAAGATTACTGACGTGTAATAGTACAGCTAATCAGCCTTTTCGAGCATTATATATGAGTCCAATTGTTACTCATTACACTACTGACATATAGTTTACTGAAATGTCAATCATTTTCAATTTTATATGGACCTTTCATAAACCATTTACTACAAAACAGACAGCCCATAAAAAATGTTCACCATTGATTTTTTAATCACTCTGTGTATTTCATAACACATTACATTTTCATATTGACATGTTAAGCTTGATGAAACTTCAGCGAAAAACCGTATTTGTTTTCACGTTTAGGGCCATTTAAACACATGCTTTTCATGTAGACACCTTGGTTTTTGAGGCACGTTTTTCTATCCAATGTCTTTCAAATAAATCAGATAACTTACAACAAGCTTATACTTGTAAACAGACTATATTTTTCCAATAGACTTCATGATGATAATCTTATATCTGGTCCATATTAACTCATGTATTCAAAATGTCTGATTCAGATCAGTACGCGTTTGTTTATTATTTTCTGTTAACAGTGATGATAATGATAAACAGATCTTTTATTTAGTTATAGTAAATCTATTGTGACGAGAATTTTTGCTAAATAGCTGACAGAAATAATATTTAATGAGCGTTTGACTTTCAACTGATATTAATCCACTGATTGAATTAAAAAGTAGTTAGGAATTTCTATTAGAATAGAATCCCACTGAATTTGATGGCTTTTAATATTACCTTCGGCTCCAATATTTGTTATTGAAGGTTAACTTGAAAAAAATCAATTTTAGAAGCTTCAAGTTAAAGCCTATTATATATTTAATTTACACAGAAACTATGCACACTTAGATGGTGTAATAAGAAGACGAAGATTATCAGAACTATACATATTAATTCTTTGAAATGTCTCTCCTAGATTTTCCTGTAGATTTTTATATATTACTGTAAAAAAGTATGCGTTCATCATCTATCACCTACGTAATAATCTATTTGCTCTTACCAAAAGTAGCATATACAGTATGAATGTTTTTCAGTAGTTTTACTTCTGACTTCTCTACCACATTACTAGAACTAGTTCATAATAAAATTTAAAATTTTACTGGTTTTTCTGTTCTTACATGACCACAATAATCTTAAAACTAATGCTGAATCTTGTTTAATGATTCTTATATTTTTCCTCACCAGTTATTTAAATTGAAATCATGTATGTGTAACTAAATAATAACTATTTTCTCATGAGAATCATGCTGAAAATGATGTTTCCATTAGCTAAACTAGTTTTGTTACATCGAACAAATTGCCACCTCATGTTAATTTCAATCGGATTTAGCGGTGTACATGTTTGCGCCGAGGTATTTACATTATAGGAAAAGAAAGGTGATTTTTGATGGTATATCAAAACAAATTCGATAAACATTGAAATTAAAAGTTCAGTGTATTTTTAACAACCTCTTTAGTCGTCATTTATTCAATAATTAATATAATTTTGATATTTTAAAATAGTTTAATATAATCAGCACTTAACTTCTAATTTATCATATTACACCAAGGCCTCCCTATTCAATTCTTTTAAAACTGCCGTCATTATTCTAGTAATTTTCATTATTAAAATAAATTATGTACGTTGATTATAAATAATTATAACTGTTGTTTCAAAGTCGTAAGCTTACTTACTTACTTACGCCTGTTACTCCTCGTGAAAGAGCATAGGCCGCTCACCAGCATTCTCCATCCAACCCTGTCCTGGGCAATCCTTTCTAGCTCCGTCCAGTTGTAATTCATCGTTTTCATATCTGCTTCTATTATCCGACGCAATGTGTTCTTTGGCCTTCCTCTTCTTCGCTTCCCTTCAGGATTCCAAGTTAGGGCTTGCCTTGTGATGCAGTTTGACGATTTGCGTAATGTATGTCCTATCCATTTCCATCGTCTTTTCCTAATTTCTTCTTCAGCTGGGAGTTGGTTTGTTCTCTCCCACAGAAGGCTGTTGCTGATGGTATCCGGCCAATGGATGTTGAGTATCTTGCGAAGACAGCTATTTATAAATACTTGTACTTTCTTGATTGTGGTTGTTGTAGTTCTCCAAGTTTCAGCTCCATACAGTAGAACTGCCTTGACGTTCGTATTGAAGATTCTCACGTTGATATTGGTTGAAAGTTGTTTTGAGTTCCATATGTTCTTCAATTGAAGGAATGCGACCCTTGCTTTGCCGATCCTCGCCTTTACGTCTGAATCTGAACCTCCTTGTCCATCGGCGATGCTTCCTAGGTATGTGAAGGACTCTACATCTTCCAGAGTTTCGCCATCAAGTGTGGTTGGATTGCTGTTCTCCGCTTTGAATTTGAGGACCTTAGTTTTCCCTTTGTGTATGCTGAGGCCTACTGATGCAGAGACTGCTGCTACACTGGCTGTCTTCATCTGCATCTGTTCGTGTGTACGTGATAGGAGGACCAGGTCATCTGCGAAGTCCAAATCGTCTAATTGATTCTGAGCTGTCCATTGTATGCCATGTTTTCCTTCAGATGTCGAGGTCTTCATAATCCAGTCGACCACCAGAAGTAAGAGGAAGGGAGAGAGTAAACAGCCTTGTCTGACTCCGGTCCTTACTTGGAATGCATCTGTCAGCTGTCCTCCATGCACTACTTTGCACCGTAGTCCGTCGTATGAGTTCCGGATTATATTGACAATCTTCTCAGGAATTCCGTAGTGTCAAAGAAGTTTCCATAATGTCCTCCTATCTACACTGTCGAATGCCTTTTCATGATCAATGACGTTGATGTATAGTGATGAGTTCCACTCAACTGATTGTTCGACGATGATCCGTAGTGTTGCAATTTGGTCTGTGCATGACCTGTCCTTACGGAATCCAGCTTGTTGATCTCGAAGTTGGACGTCTACTGCATCCTTCATCCGGTTCAGCAACACTCTGTTGAAGACTTTCCCTGGTATTGACAGTAGTGTTATGCCTCTGTAGTTTTCACATTTGCTCAGATTTCTTTTCTTTGGAATCTTGACGAGGTGTCCTTCTTTCCAGTCCATCGGCACTTGTTTCTCCTCCCAAATCTTTTTGAATAGAAGGTAAAGCATGCTTGTGGTTGTTTCGACGTCTGATTTCAGTGCTTCGGCTGGTATGTTGTCGGGTCCTGCTGCTTTCCTGTTCTTGATTTGTCTGACAGCCATTCTACTTTCTTCCGTCGTTGGTGGGTTGATATCTATAGGAAGATCTGTGTGTGCTGCTTCGATGTCCGGTGGATTCATTGGAGCCGGCCTATTCAGGAGTTCCTCAAAGTATTCGAGTCGTAAGCAGCTTATATGAATTCACCAAATAAACCAATCCACTTTATTCAGCTAAACTTGCTTTACTTTTATTTATCATTGAGAAAATTTACATAAAGTGCACAAAGAATATTAAACCAATATTGTGGGAGTGTAGTTCTTCATCGACAACAATTATTCATATCCATTTTAAAACCTATAAACCTAATTGTAAAATATGAAAGTTAATCAAACTTTTTCTGGGTCAATTTAATTGACAAAATTCAATATGGTTTTGTCATCACTGTTCAAACCATATTTTTGTTTTATATAATGTATATTTACATTTATAAATTATTCCCTGTTTCTTTCACTGACATTTTTAGGAGGCTTCAATGATTTTCTTTTGAATAATATATTCCTCTTTAATTTTTAATTTTAGTTTATATTCTGTGATAATAACATCATATTACTTCATTTATATTTATAGAAAAATCTATAGTTCAGCAGCCTGTTGGTCTGGTACACACTACGTACTATGGCCCTCAACCTGTCTCTTCATCATGTGATATTTGCATGAATAAGATTACTACAACAGTTCAATACCGTAAAGGAGTATGTACTTGGATGGCTTGTACTGGAATAACATTAATTGGGTAAGTTTTTATAAGTTTAGTGAACTGTCAAAATTTATTAAAATGAATAATTTTCTTTGTTTCTATAAATATTGTAGTGTATAACTCAATACCCTATATAAATATGTAAGGTTGCTTCAAATTACGTAACTGAATTCGGTCGGACACAAATACTACAGTTGACTGATTTCTTTACATAAATCATATTTTCCATGTTCCATTACAAAGTAATCATTTATCATTAACGTATGAGTAAATGTTATATTTCAAACAAACGATCAGTTATAAATGAAGAAAGTTGTTATCTAATGAAACATTCTAGAAATTTACTGCCTAAATTTATCAAGATTTTGAGACTTCTAAGCTGTAAGTATTTATTATGCATCGTTTCGTTTGAATTTACTCGTCTATAATTTATTAGAAAACAACTAACTTAAATTCATAAAACTCATTAAAACGTTTACTGACTGGTGGATGCCTGAAAGCATTCTTCGAAAAGTCCGAAAATAAGCTTTCAAACTAGTTGGTACTAGTTAACCAGGTAAATCTGTCATAATCAGGAAATCGATCAATACTCTTTGCTTTGTTTATCTGTCTGATGACTCTTCCAAAGCATATAATTGTGTAGTCTATGGTGTTTTTTTATATGTAATGTTCAAATTATTGATCAAACTCACTGTACACAGTATCAGTTTGTCGTTAGGCATTTTCTACATAATTTCAATTTATAGCCATAACTTCTAAAATTCATGAAATACCAGGAAGATGATAACAATAAAATCTTATATAAATCTTCATCATATTTTATGAAAATAAAAAGATATCCGTTCAAGTGAATCACTTTCAATTTGAATGTACAATTCATGAAAATAATAAATTAGAACTTTCCAAAATATTCCTTTTAAATTAATTATATTTGCTCATTAATTATTCAGTAAACTATTGGTTCTGGAAGGTATTCGATTCTTGGATTATTTCTCCTTACAAATGTATACTATAGCCGTCTATTGAATTTCCCCTTTATATTCTTATTTTTACTTCTTTTCATTCTTAACATTATAGTTTTCTTTAAATATTCAGTATAAGGTAATAGATTTCAAGTTTCACTGACCACAGTCCAATTAATTGATACTAGTTAATTTTTAAACTAAGAACTATAGATTTATTTAATGAAATAAGGTTTGAAGAAAAGGTATAGATACAAAATTTAATAATGGGATAGCTATTCACTTATTATGTCAATAGTTAACGAAACAAACAACAAAATAAGTAATTTTAATAGTTGAGATCATGAGTTAATTGGAAGCACAGGATGGCTGTTTCGTTCTATTATGGGACTCCTCAACAAAATAAGTATCCAGAATATTTCGATAAAACATGATAATTCATTTGGAATTGTTTAGCTTGTATCTTCTCATTGAGTTTTTTTAAGACTGCAATTGATCAGTCTGTTAATGGCATATGTGCATCCCATTGCACAAGTAGGTGACTATCTGGACTCAGTAGCTGAGTGGATAACGCGATGGCGTTTGAAGCGAATGGTACTGGGTTCGTGTCCCAGAGTGAACATCAACTCCGAGATGCAGGTACATCCAGCCGACGAGTCCCAAATAGGGAGAAACGCGCGTCCTGGATTCCAATGCTAGCCACTATCCATCATTGCTTACAAAACACGATAATTGTTTTTGCACTATTCATATGTTATAGAATTATATTAAAATATTATAAGAAGATTAAGTATGTAATAAAACATAATGTTTTCTGTGTGTTTATAGCCGATCATATTATTAATTAGTTATTGTGACTATCAATTTGTTATTCTAGCGGTATATTCGGATGCTGTTTAATACCATTTTATGTGAATTCATGCAAAGATGCTTATCACAGTTGTCCAGAATGTGGAACATTACTTGGAGTTTATAAACGTATCTAAAATTTATCATCGATTGCTACTTCTTTTTTTTCACAAAACGTTGTTTTCTTTCTTCTCCATTTGTTTCAATCTACTGAGCTTTTTGTATGAAATATAAGTGAAAATAAAACCATATTAAGTTATCCTGAATTATTTTAATGAATGTTCATCTTAATTTCTCAACTTTTATAATTTTCGTATTATTCACATTATTCAGTATTGTCTGTATTCCTGAAATAATATATAGTTTCAGTTTTAACTTCCATATATACAATATACTCCGTAATGACACAAAAATGTACACAAGTAAGAGAAACAATTTCTATCCTATTTTATTTAACCTACTACAACAATGTACTCTGTTTTGATATTATCAATTTAAACCGCTTCATCTAACAAGTGTTGTGATAACACTTTTCATTTTTTTATTTATTATCACTTCCTTCAGCTGTTGTTTTATGACTTTTAGCTAACTATTGCCATAATATGTGTTACCTATCATTACATCTATCACTTTGAATATATATTTTTAAAGAAAAAGCTATTGCATAGAATACTATATATATATGCAAGTTGGATTTCTTTTCAAAAGGCAAAACATATTGTCCTTCTACATATGTACATCAGCCGACACACTACCATTGTTTATCTTATTATTAAAACACAATTATATGAACGAAGAATATTCTTTTCAATAATTTCTCATCAAGTCAAAATAAATTTACATATTTGTTAAATGTTTATTTTGACAGAGTACCTTTTCCGTGAAACACATATTGCTGGATATTGTATTACCTTTTTTTGGTTTTGTTGAGTCTCTTAATGTACATAAAAAAACAACATGTTTCATTACTCAGAAATAAGTAATAAGTAATATTTATTTGAAAACTTTTACGATTGTCTTTATTTGTATCTTATGAATGTGAATGAATAAAATACTTCAAATAAAGTTTTTTTTCACTTCATCTATTCCTACAATCAAATAAAACTTCTATCAATTTATCATTTGGTTCATTCATTTGTTGGTTAAGTTGCCTGGTATTACACTCAATATAGCTATCTCCGTAGGGGTAGCAATATTAGATATACTACCAATCATTTTAATCAATGAATGCGGGAACATCTCCCAGCTTGGTATGAAAAGGGCTAAACAAAGACTATTCTCAAACCTATATTGGCACACCTGGTTGATAGTGGACTTTTGATAATAAAAATCATTTCAATTGATCGGTCATATACCTTCGTTGTTTCTCATTGAGGTCTGATCTTGTCTGCAATATATAGCAGAAACTATAGGGACCTGAACCTTCAACCCTAGTTTATGAATTCAGAAGAAATTCGACGGAATCCTGTACTTTCCTTGGTCGTATAGTTTTCTTCCTATCAAAGTGTACATTTTTACCTATTATGTGTAGTTATGCAATCTTTTACACTGTGATCACTGATGTATGAATAATTCTAAGTTTTCTATTATTGTCATATACTTAAATAAGTATATATGTATACTAGCATAAAGCCTGATGAAGATCTAATTGTAAACAATGTTGTTCTAATTTACAATTTAGAGTTTTTTAACACTTAAAAGTGCTAAAACCTCACTTGTAAAGAAGCCACTAAGAACACACATTCCACATAGACTTATGTCATACCAATCGTCGTTAATTTCTGTAATAAAATGTTTTCAAAAGCTAACCCCTATTGACTACAACATAAACTTCTCTAATTAGAAGTTAAAACTATGGTTTTCACATTCCAGTTGCATAATGTTCCTTATTTTTCGCTGAATCAATATTAAAAAATAAAGTTATTCTCAAAATAACGTTATGAACTAGCTGTTATCACTAAATCAATCACTTATCCAATGATTGTATAGTATATAGCGTAAACTGCTTAATGCAATACTTATTAAAATATCTGTGAATAATAGTAATCCAAAAAAATATCTGAACCTTTTTTTATAAAAACAGGAGGTATTTTAAACTGTGGAAATAAACAACTTTACTGAAATGGAAAACTTGTTATATTTGAAGAGTTTTGCGGTCATAAAAGAAGAACGATGAAAGCTCCACGACAAAACCATCCAGCTCAGAGAACAAAACTCCATCAAAGTCATAAAAGTTCTATAAGTAATGCACTTATTTCAAGGATTAACGTTTGTAAATGTTTCTCCTTAAATTTGCATTTAGAAAGATAGTATACATACATTTAGTGATTTAATGAGTTAAAATCATAGCTTAAGAAAGCTGTCAAACTAAAAAATAACTTTTAGTTTTAGTCACTATTTACTATCGCTTATTACAATAAATAAATTCGAATTTCCACAATACCATCACACTCTTCCATCACAAAATAAATAATGATTGATCTCAGGTGAAAATAATGGATGAAACAATTAGAGAACTATGTCACATAATTTTAATGGTTAAGATCATGAGTTAATTGAAGTTAGACAACCATGGAAAACCTGAGAGCACTGAACGGCCGTTTCTCCCTATTATAGGACCCCTCGGCAGTTCGCATCAACGATCTAGCCTCGCGAGATTGGAACCCAGGGCCTATCAGTCTCACATGCGAACATTTAACCTCTAGAACACTGAGCCATCATCCAACAGTTTTAATGTCTAATCCACGAAATTAAGCGAAGCATCCACCACTGTCTCCAGTGAGTCACTAACTCATAACAGACCCAGTTAAACTTCTCACTAGAACTCCAGAAAATACCTTTTGAAGCCAGTCACTGGTGAGCATAGATTGATTAGTATCAGAAGGGATTTTGCGGATATTATAATGATTTTAATTGTTGAGATCACTGCTGAGGTGTCCCACAATAGGACAAAACGGCCATCCAGTGTTTCCAGGTTTTCTGTGGTGGTCTACCTTCATCTGACTCCTGATCTCAACCATTAAAATTACTAATATATCGTATAAGACAATTAACAGCTAACTTTTTTTATATTTATGAATAAACTATGAATTCTACTTAATATTGCTTAGGAATTTATTTTACTCTCTATCTAATAAGACGTTTGTGATCATGATTTCATAGACCAATTTTCCCTTCTTCACTGTCGAACATTAAAAACATTTATCGACGTTAATAATAATATTTTAAAATGTAAAATGAAAAGAAATTAATTACAGATTCAATTAAGTAAAGTATCCAAGTACTGTTTTGATTCAATCTAATATTTCAAATTAATTCATTTTGCTTTCCAAAGCTTAATACATCACTTTATTACATGGTTGTTTTAATTGATCATTTGGGCGGTGACTACCTTCAAGTTTATTTTATACATGGATGTGTATTTATATACATAGTTCTTTATTTATGAAAAGAACGTACGTGTAGTTGAAACTTTTATTGATAATTTTTATTATAGCTTGTGATCAAATTTTGTGTTGTGTTAATTAGGTATCGAAATAAATTTATTAGTGTTTATTGCCAAACGTACTACGAAGTTCGGTAGTTGTGAAAGGAGTTTATTTAGTGTTACAAGTATTTGTCCCTAAACGGTTTATTATCTGATATATTTACTGACTTCCTAGGGAGTTTACTGTAGAGAATCCATTTGATTTGTAACGATTCGGCACATTGTGCACACTCAACACCATCTGGGTTGATTCTAAAGACTTATGAAATAGCATGATGTGGAAAGTGCAGTACGCAAACGTGTACTTAATTGTGTGGTTTCAAAATACCAGTCACTTAATTGGTATGTTTATAAATAGAAATTCATAATAGCAACAGTGTATTTTTAAAATTTTGCAATTTTTCATGCTCATTTACTTGGCCAACAATGGTATGACTATATTTAAATTAAATTTTGAAAGTTATGCATCTAATTAATTTTCATACTATTACGTAAGTTGATGGACAGTTGCATGAACTCATTTATATGAAACTTAATTGCGTTACATCACGTTTTTCTTCTACATTACGGTACGACCATATACGCAAATGTCACTCATCTCTCAGTGTTTGTTTAGATACTTTACTATTTATTAACGGTAAATTGTCTATGTAAAAGCTTTAGATGTTCTTTTAGCCTCAGTTAAGGTTTAAGAAACAAATGATTATTAAGGTTTTTGAACGTAATGGAACTTATTAAATAAAGTACATTGAGACTGATATTTTTATTATTCTCAATCAGAAAACATTCTACTTAAAATCCATGGTGTTATACCGTTTTCTTTTCGTTTGTAACATGTTATAAAATGTCATTTACTCTCATTCGTTAGTATAAAGGTCAAATAACTAAATAAGTCGATCGTTTTACTAGGTTACTCTATAGGAACCGGGAAAGTTTCATTGTATTCAGTGATTAAATGATATTCGCATATTCAATCCACAGTCGATTAAAGTTCTATGAAGTAATTAAAAGCCTATGTCAGTTTACAATCACCGACTATTAGGTTATTGAACATACTGGATAATTCATTTAAACGTTATTTTAATGACTATCAGCAAATAAATTTTGTTATGCAAATTATAGGATAAATTGGTTCTGGAAACAATTTAATTTCACACATATCCACGAAAAGATAATAATCTAATCAAAACATCGATTTTATAATGAAGCATAAATTTTTATTGGATTATATAGATAAATCAATAATCATTCATTTTATATTCAGAATATTTTACCGATCATCAAATACTACTTTAATTAATTTAACAACAAACTTCTTTAAACCATGAAGGTAAACCAATATTATCTAAGTTACTTCATAACATCATCATATAGTGAGATTCGTTTCAACTTAATACAATTTAATTGTTTATTAATCAACTTTTGTTTACTTTATACTTGCCTTGATATGGTTTGCCTCACCTATTTTGAATCTAACTTAAAATCTATGAATTGAGAAACAAAATTTTAAATGAATTTTTGTTTTAATTTCTTGTACTGAGAAATCATTGTATTAAAAAGAAATAATAATACACTACTATCACTAACTGTTAATCGTATATCATCAATTTGAAATTCATTAAGTTTACTAATTGAATGTAATACTTTCATTAGGTAAGAAATTGACGTCTCAATTTACAATTCATTGGAATTATTTGATAAGTTTTGCAGATTGAACGCTATACTCGCTTCCTAAGCTATTCTGTAACCCTCAAGCTAGAAATATATAGCGACCTGAACACGAGAGAGCAGACGCAAAGTATGCCAGAAGTACTTTACTCTAAGGTTCACTTATATACAGAAAATACAGGGTTTTTATAATATTTTAAACGCCCTCGGGCTGCTAGAAGATTCTGGAACACTACTAAACATAGTAGCAGTGTTGCAATTGCCAATCAGAGCCTCTGCATGTGACGTTTCGCTTCCTTGATATTTTTGGCTAAAACTTCAAGTGAACGCTGATTGGATGAAACGTTTCTTAGTGTTTTCTGATGCTTGGTTGTCTTTTGCAAGCAATTTTCTGGATCACTCCAACATTATTACGCTTTAATTCAGAGATATTTTATGAGAAAAAACACTTTAACTGTCAAAATCTGAATGCATACTTTTATTAGCCGGTGAATAAATGATTGAATATGTATTAACTAATGTTAGAAAGATATGCTTATCATTTTTTTCATTACCAAGACAACAGTATTCTCTCGAATATATATATATATATATACGTAAGGCATAAACTAGAGATGATATTCACAGAATCAAAATCTTCACTTAAACATTTATCACTGTGACACTGAAAACAAACAAAGTACTGGTTTAGGATAAGTAGAAAAGAAACAAATAAAGAATCAAACCCCAGACGTAATACAACGTTTCCGCGGTTGTTTGTCTTTAAAGGATGTGAATTTTTGGATTGAAATAACAATTTACTACTGCTTCTTTTTCTTTTCTTTATAATATGACGTAAATATATCGCATTACATGAAATTTATCTTGTACAATTTACTATTTGTACTTGTATTATAACAAGTGATGAGACGAAAACTCATTCGAA